GGGAGGAGAATCTGGTGGTGGGTACATCGATCCATATTCTTGCCGGAAAGCTTCGAATCTTGAAAACAAATCTTAAAAGGTGGAATAAGGAGGTGTTTGGGAGCTTGGTGTGGAGGAAGAATAGGGCTTTGGCTGATATTGCGGAGATTGATCGATTAGAAGGGGAGGGTGCTATTACGGAATCTCAACGCAGTAGAAGAGCAGCTTGCCAGGCAGAATGTGTGGAGACTGCTCTTTTGGAGGAAATCTCGTGGCGTCAGAAATCTCGGGCATTATGGCTCAAAGAGGGAGATCGTAATACGAAGTTTTTTCACAGAACTGCTAATGCTAATAGGAGGAGCAATCATATTGGGCGGATGTGTGTGGATGGTGCAGTTTTGTCTTCAGAGGAGGAGGTGCGAAGTGCTATTGTCTCTTTCTATCAAAGACTTTATTCTGAGCCTCTTCGTTGGAGACGTCGTCTAGATGGTCTTCACTTTGATTCTATTTCTGCCTTGGAGAGAGATGGGCTGGAAAATTCTTTTTCGGAGGAGGAAGTGCTGAAGGCTTTAAAGAGTTGCAATGGTGATAAGGCTCCAGGTCCTGATGGTTTCACGATGAGATTTTTGTTGGAAAGCTGGGAGGTGGTCCGGTACGAGATTATGGGCACTTTTCATGAGTTCCATTCCACGGGGCGATTTGAGAAATCGCTTAACGCATCTTTTATTGCCCTTATTCCTAAAAAGGGTGGTGCTTCTAATATCAAGGATTTTAGACCCATTAGTCTGATCGGGTGCATTTACAAGATCATTGCAAAAGTCCTTGCCTTTAGATTGAGGGAGGTCCTGGATGGAGTTATCTCTGAGTCTCAGAATGCTTTCGTTGGGGGTAGACAGATTCTGGATTCTGCTCTTATTGCTAGCGAATGCGTGGATTCTAGACTTCGTAGTGGGATTCCTGGTGTTCTGTGCAAGCTGGATATTGAGAAAGCCTATGATCATGTTTGCTGGAATTTCCTGTTCTATCTGTTGGAGAGGATGGGTTTTGGTGAGAGATGGAGGAAGTGGATTGTTTCTTGTGTTTCCACTGTCAGGTTTTCGGTGTTGGTGAATGGCTCTCCTTCGGGGTTCTTTGGCAGTTCTCGTGGGTTGAGACAGGGGGATCCTCTCTCCCCTTTTCTTTTTATTATTGTTATGGAGGCCCTTAGCAGGCTGATGAGAAGGGCGGTGGATTTGGGTTTTCTTAGGGGTTTCAAGATTGGCCTGAATCAGTTCAGCAGTTGGAGATCTCTCATTTACTTTTTGCGGATGACACTATTGTTTTTTTGTGAGGCTGATATATCCCAGTTGAGGTATCTGAGATGTGTTTTGGTTTGTTTCCAGGCTGTTTCTGGTTTGAAAGTTAACGTGGGAAAGAGTGTGATTGTTCCTGTGGGGGAGGTTCAGGAGGTGGACACTCTGGCTGCTGTTCTAGGATGTGGGACGCAACGCTTTCCCATCTCGTACTTGGGTTTGCCGCTGGGGGACTCGGCTAGGAGGGTGGGAAGTTGGAACCCGGTGATTGAGCGGGTCGAGAGAAGATTAGCGGGTTGGAAAAACAATATTTTTCAAAGGGCGGTAAAGTTACGTTAGTGAAGAGCACTTTGTCAAGCCTTCCAACGTACTTTCTTTCGCTTTTTCGTATTCCAGCCTCTATTGTTGGAAGACTAGAAATGCTCCAACGTAATTTCCTTTGGGGGGGTCGCGGAGAAGAGTTCAAGTATCATCTTGTCAAATGGGAACAGGTTTGCAGGCCTATTCGGTTGGGAGGGCTTGGAATTAGGGGATTGGCCCTTTTCAATTGTGCTCTTCTTGGTAAGTGGCTTTGGAGATTTGGTAAGGAAAAACATAGATTATGGAGAAGGGTTATCTCATGTCGCTTTGGGGAGGAGAGAGGAGGGTGGTCAGTTAGACCAGTCAGGTCTGTTAGCGGAGTGGGGGTGTGGAGGGCCATTGGTAAGGTGTGGGATGCCTTTTCTAAACAGATTAGATTCAGAGTTCGGGATGGAAGAACTGTCTGGTTTTGGGAGGATCCATGGTGTGATGATAGGCCTTTGGCTCTATTGTTTCCCAGGCTTTTCAGGATTGTTGTTGACAAACATGCTATGGTTGCTGACTACTATTGCCTTGATAGTGGAAGGTTGTCTTGGGATGTGCGTTTCCGGCGAGCTTTTCAAGATTGGGAATTGGATGATGTCACTGGGTTTTTGGCTCTCCTTTACGGACAGGAGGTGGAGGGGTCTGGGACAGATTCCTTGATTTGGGTGCCTTCTTCTCAGGGGATGTTCCAGGTCCGGTCCTTTTTTGTGTGCCTTTCTGGTTTTCATGGTACCTCATTCCCATGGAAGACGGTGTGGAGGTCTAAGGCGCCTCTTAGGGTGGCCTTTTTTGTGTGGACTGCAGCTTGGAGTAAGATTTTGACTTTGGACAATTTGAGGAAGCGAAGGCAGGCATATCATTGTTAATAGGTGTTGTCTTTGCAAGATTAATGGGGAGTCGGTGGATCATCTTTTGTTGCACTGTCCTGTGGCTCATGATTGTTGGAGTTTGATGTTTGGCCTGTTTGGTATTCATTGGGTCATGCCTCGGTCATCTTGGGAGTTGTTAGATATGTGGAGGGGCCAATGGGTGGGGGCTCAGGTCAGAGTTTTTTGGAGGGTGATCCCTTTTTGTATTTGGTGGAGCATTTGGAGAGAGCGTAATGGAAGATCTTTTGAGGGAAAGGAATCCTCCATTGGGGTGTTAAAATTTTTTATCATTTGTAATTTGTTTTGTTGGGGTCAGGGGAGAGACTACTCCTCTCTTGAGGAGATTGTTGATTTTATGAGCTCTTTGAATTCATAGGCTCCGTTTTGTCTTTGTATAGTTTGGGACGCGTTCTCCTTTTGAACGCTTTTAATACAATTTAGTTATCAAAAAAAAAAAAAACTATAGTCCAAACGAACAAGGCCACTTTGAGAGGAGCCTTCGATCCCCAAACCGTCTTCCAAGGAAAATCAGCCCCAGTAAACAAGGAATGAACATCAAGTCTCTTGTAAGGGGAGGGCACCCAAATAAGGGAATTTGGTCCTCCGTCATCCAACTCCTATCTATACAAAAGATGCAGAAAAACCAGAAAGGTCATCCAATTCCCATGAATCCTCCCGCTATCAATCCGATCACAGTCGGCAACCAAGGCCTGTCTACCAACAGGAATCCTAAAACGCGTGGGAAAAAAGAAAAGCCAAAGCCAACTATTACAGTCAATTTTTCCTCGAATTGGTCCTACTTCAAATAATTCACAGATGTCTTCTTTCCTATTATTGGCCCTTTTTTCCCTTTTCTTTTCTTTTAATATATATATATGTATATATATATTTTGTCCTATCATATCATCTCAACATTTGAATATTTTTACTTTAATATGTCATTTCATAGCCGTCCAACATTCTGTCTGATATTCATAGAATTTATCCTTCAAATATAGAGGTATACGTCACTCTAACACAATATGCTACCCTACATCAGACTCATCTTGCTTCAATTATGTGATTATGATCATTTCTAATTTCGGGTTTTTTTTTTTTTTTTTAAGTTTTTGTTTTTGTTTTAGTTGTTGTGATAATTGAGTCTTGTAAACTCTCTATTCTAGAATCCCCTTGCCGACCTCTAGTTGAGCATTTAATCATAACCTACTTTCATCAGCTAGAAAAATATAATTATAAACTGGGAGAAATTGGAGATGATGTTATAGTTGAACAGTATTATAGTCAATTTTTCCTCGAATTGGTCCTACTTCAAATAATTCACAGATCTTCTTTCCTTATATTGGCCCTTTTTTCCTTTCCTTTTCTTTTCTTTTATTTTAATATATGTATATATATATATATATAGTCCTATCGTATCATCTCAACATTTGAATATTTTTACTTTAATATGTTATTTCATAGCCGCCCAACATTCTGTCTGATATTCATAGAATTTATCCTTCAAATATAGAGGTATGCGTCACTGACAGAATATGCTAAATGCACCCTATATCAGACTCATCTTGCTTCAATTATGTGATTATGATCATTTCTAATTTTGCTCTTTTTTTTTTTTTTTTTTTTTTTTGTGGTGGTAATCGAGTCTTGTAAACTCTTTATTCTAGAATCCCCCTGCAGACCTCTAGTTGAGCATTTAATCATAACCTACTTTCATCAGCTAGAAAAATATAATTATAAACTGGGAGAAATTGGAGATGATGTTATAATTGAATAGTATTATTTGTTATTTTGGTCATGATATGACTAGAAGCAAGTCAATCAAGTTCTATTTAGAAAAGGTAAAACAGTTTCGAAAGATGTCATTGAAGAATGCAAATTAGTGGCACACTTTACTTGAGCTTGGAATATGTTAAAAAGTGTGCACGGGTTTATGTTTCCACAAGTGAAAGCACCATGTCTGCCTTTATAAGCTTGGGCTTTTTGAGGCGTAGGCACTCCTTTAACAACTGTTAACATGATATTATCTTATTGCTCTTCGAGGAAAGTAATTTTTCGAGATTTGTTTGTATTAGGTTTGGTCCATCTCCATTTCTTTGATTAAAAGCTTCTATTTCGTTCCCTATTTTCCCTAGGGAAAATTTGAAACTAGTAAATGGGAATTCTGGAGTTCATAAAATAAATTTTGCTGTTGTCAATTTTTTTGAAGAATCTTTTTGTAACATGAGAACTCCCACGTTCTCAGTTCACTAGGTCAATTAATTCAAAAGTTCTATTCCCTACAGCCACATATCTCCCCTCACAACGGTGACACTTATGCTTGGAGATAAAGGCAACATACGTAATCTACTTAAGGACTTCCATTACCAAAAAAACTGGGCCAACATTTATAAGGGGCCTTCATGAGATTACTTGTTAAGTCTAACATCGTGGTACTAAACACAATTGGGTATCCCCATGTACATCACGGTAGTCTTATGAACTTCACCTTAATGATTGCTATGATTTGCGCATGCAGGTTATTTATAGAATAAAACTTCCTGGACCTGCTATCTTGGGTGAGGGAAAGCCAGAAAATCAGAATCATGCCATTATCTTCACACGTGGAGAAGGGTTACAAACAATTGATATGAATCAGGTAGAGTGTTGTCATATTTGCTTGAGATCAGCTTAATTTTACTTCTTATTTTCATCTTTGTGAAATATATGTGTAGGATAACTACATGGAAGAAGCCTTGAAAATGAGGAACTTGCTTGAAGAATTTCTTGAAAAGCATGATGGTGTTAGATACCCTACAATACTTGGACTTAGAGAGCATATATTCACTGGAAGGTATGTGCTCTTTGTTTTTAATTGATTTTAAATCAAAATATGCCTTATATCATTTATTTATTTATTTATTAATGTCTGGTGATTTGATGCAGTGTTTCTTCTCTTGCATGGTTCATGTCAAATCAAGAGACAAGCTTTGTCACTATTGGTCAGAGATTATTAGCCAACCCTCTAAAGTAAGATCTCTATTTTTGCAGCCCATTATTTCTTCCTTTTCCTCGTTGGGGTTGTGTGTGGCGAATTATATGAATTTGAATTCTAGAACCATTGCGCTGTTATTCTATGAAAACATTACCCAAGTACATAGACAGAGGTGTTGCTATATTATCCAGTATTTTTTCATTTCCATTACCAAAAGATGCATGTAGTATGCTACTTTGGCTTTGTTTTTCCTTTTCCTTTTCCTTTTTGGATATAAGAAATTTAGTTGATTCATACTTTTTTATTCAAGGAGCCATTGCTTGGTGCATTGGTAATATGTTCACGCTCTCAAGCGTAAGAATGTGGGTTCCTATCTTGAGAGCAAGTACTTTGTGCAAATAATGCCTATGGTTAGGTCTATATTCAGTCAACCCCTCTCAGCACCCTCAGTAATGGCGACCACACTGGGTAATGACCCTATACCATTTTATTCAGATTGCTGTTATAATTGATTCGATTCCTGTGAATAATAACACAGCAATATATGCATGTACTTACACATTAACCCAAGGGACAAATTACTCTTATCGCTGCCGGAAGATAAAGAGTTCATTTTTACAATTTATTTCTCTTTCAACATGTGTGTACTTTGTTTAGAAAACATCATTTTGTCCTTCACAGCTAGAAGTTCCATATTTTGTTTATTTACATTGGAAATGTTTTGTTATAACTCAGAATATGTTTCACCTTAGAACTATGTTTTGCATTTGTGAAAAACGTAAGTGCAAATGAAATTGACATCACACGGTAATTGGTCTATTGGAAACAACTTTTTGCACCCCTGGATTTGGATAGAGTTCACTACAGACATCAAACTGCATTTAATGCTTTATTGGGTTGAGTTGAAAAGTTGGAAGAGGCATGTTAAACCATAATACATACCTTTGTCATTGCTTATCCAAAAAACAGATGTGATATTTTGCACTTGAGAAGAGAAAATAAACAACCTCTATATAGAACAGAAGAAAATATAGTGTTGTCATTCTTGTTAGTGTGAAGACCTGAGCTCTAGTAAGAATAGAACAATGAAAAATTCAAGCAAATTGGTCATAGTGATGGTGTTGTGATGATATGTAAAACATAAAGAAAAAATCAATATGATATTTGTTGGACATATACAAATGAAGACTTATCGATGTGCCAATAAGAATTGGTAGATTAGTTTACATAGGTAAGAGACAAAGAGGACGACCAAAAGTAACATGGGATAAAACATTTATTAATGAAATATTTAAATATTATGGGTGAGATGACTTGTAATAAAATTGGAATGGAAAAAGTTAATTCATTTGGCCAACCCAGTTCTTTTGTATGTTCACGAGGATAACAACTGTATACATCTCCTTTTGTGACTTTCTCTTGATTACTATGTGCTCGCATTAATGTTTCCAATGCTCCTGACGCCTACGGTTTTGCTCAACCCTCTCAGCCTCCCGTTGCTTTGTTGTTGTCCAATTTGCTAAATCTCCACTATTTTCTGCGTGGAAACCCGTCCTTATTTTCTTGTGGTGGCATGAAGATCTTTCCTGTTCAATGTACTAAATTTCCATTGAATTTTGTTGTTATTATTATTTTATTATTGTTTGCCTTTTCCAGGGTTCGATTTCACTATGGTCATCCAGATGTCTTTGATAGGCTGTTTCACCTTACAAGAGGTGGTGTTAGTAAAGCATCAAAAGTCATCAACTTAAGTGAGGACATATTTGCTGGTATGCTCCTATAATTTTTCTGCTTTCTGAGATTTATTTATTTATTTGGGTAAATGATCTTGGCTTACCCTGTAGCTTCTGTGTTCTCACTATGAATGCAGGCTTCAATTCTACACTTCGTGAAGGCAATGTTACTCATCATGAATATATACAAGTTGGGAAAGGAAGGGACGTGGGCCTTAACCAGATTTCTCTATTTGAGGCAAAAATAGCCAATGGGAATGGAGAGCAGACATTAAGTCGTGACATATACAGGCTTGGACACCGTTTTGACTTCTTCCGGATGATGTCATGTTATTTTACCACTGTTGGTTCTTACTTTAGTACCTTGGTATGTTACGAAACTTATATCGTTTCTACTATTTTTAAATTAAGTTTCCTGATCCTTCACATTTTTTCTTGCAGATCACTGTGCTCACTGTATATGTTTTCCTTTATGGCCGCCTTTATCTTGTTCTTAGTGGACTTGAAGAGGGGCTAAGTAGTCAACCAGCAATCCGAGATAATAAGCCTCTTCAAGTGGCTCTTGCTTCTCAGTCATTTGTGCAAATTGGATTTCTAATGGCCTTGCCTATGTTGATGGAGATTGGTTTGGAGAAGGGCTTTCGAACCGCACTGAGTGAATTCATACTAATGCAATTACAGCTGGCGCCTGTATTTTTCACATTTTCGCTTGGAACAAAAACCCACTATTATGGAAGGACTTTACTTCATGGAGGTGCAAAGTATAGGGCTACAGGTCGTGGGTTTGTTGTGTTTCATGCCAAGTTTGCTGAAAACTATCGGCTTTACTCCCGCAGCCACTTTGTTAAGGGACTCGAGCTAATGATTCTGCTTCTTGTTTATCAAATTTTTGGGCAATCCTATAGAGGTTCAGTTGCTTATATCTTGATCACTCTGTCAATGTGGTTCATGGTAGGCACCTGGCTTTTCGCTCCGTTTCTTTTCAATCCTTCTGGTTTCGAGTGGCAAAAAATTGTTGATGATTGGACTGATTGGAATAAGTGGATAAGCAACGTTGGTGGTATTGGTGTACCTCAAGAAAAGAGTTGGGAATCATGGTGGGAGGAGGAACAAGAACATCTTCGTCATTCTGGAAAGCGTGGTCTCGTTCTTGAGATATTGTTATCCTTACGATTTTTTATATATCAGTATGGACTTGTTTATCATTTGAATATGACAAAGGGGACCAAAAGTTTCCTGGTATGCAAATTCATACTGGTTCCTCGTGTTTGCTTTGTTCTTATTTCAAAGTGAATTAAGTTCACTGTTGTTTATGATTATCTGTTTTCCCATGTGGTTCACAGGTGTATGGCATATCATGGCTGGTTATTTTTCTAATATTGTTTGTAATGAAGGTATGGAATTCTTCATAATTTTACCATGACATGTTGAGAAAAAATCAGTTAGGAATTTATTTCCCAATGTTAAAACTTATTCCTTTTATAATTTGGGTAGAAGCTGTCAGTGTTTTATAATTCCTCTACTGTATTTATAAGTTTGTGGAAGTCAAAACTATAGCACTACCATGATGTGCTCTCAATCAGTTCATCTGAATTTTATTTATTTATTTATTTATTTTGAGAGGATTGTATTATTTTATGTTTTCATTTCTCCCCCAAAGTCAACCCGTTTCGAAGGAAATGGGTTGACTTTGTTGTTTTAATCGATTTTTTATATTCAAACTAGTTTTCTGAAGTGCAACTGGGGTTACCTTGATGCACGATAAAAATCAACCTATAAAACAATATCTAGAGCGTTGAAAGAAATTGTACAACCTTTGTCGGGTAATTATGAATTTGCAGGTTTCTGCACAAAAATAATTTGCATTTATCTGCTGTTTATTGTGTAAGCTTTTTAATGCTTTTGTTGGTGAAAAGTTCTTAAAGAAGAAAAAAGAAATAAATGTGTTGAGTTAGTTGGTTTGATTGATTTTCTATGCTCAGCTATATGTTTTTTACATGGTTCACAAATATACCTTCAAAAACAACCTATGTAATATCCCGTCTTTCAAACTTGCACATCTCTGGACAAAGTAACCTGCAGCCTGCAGCTGTAGTAAAAGAGATTGTATTATTTTCAATTGTATCTATGATATTTTTGGTGTTGGTTTTGCACATGACAACATTATAAATTTTAGGTTGGTGTAGACCCATTAGTGCGAGATACTTTCATGTTATAGTAGCTTTATTTGATTACTTCTTTAAGATTATTTTGTGTGTTAATTTGTTTTTTTCCTCAGACTGTATCTGTTGGACGGAGAAGATTTAGCGCAAATTTTCAGCTCATGTTCCGGCTAATTAAGGGGTTGATCTTCCTCACGTTTGTCTCCATTCTGGTCACTCTGATTGCACTTCCCCACATGACATTGCAGGACATTGTAGTGTGTATTCTTGCTTTCATGCCAACTGGTTGGGGTTTGCTTCAGGTCAGTGAATTACTTGTCTACTCCACTTATTTATTACTTAGTATTTTGTATTCTTTCAAGTAACTTGCATCAGATTCTGTCAAACTTTAGTAAAGGTTTCATATTGTGGAAGCCAAATGCTGCACCTTTAGATGTGATGCTGGACAATCATCAGTATCCCACATATAAGAGATGACAGTAAACCCTTTTTATCTAGATCTTCTCAGTTTAAATTTTCCTGTGTTTTATGTCGAGTTGTGAAACCTAGTCTTGCATTTTAGCATTGTAGTCCTTTTGTGGCTTGTGATTTTGCTTGAACCCCTATGTACAAGATGGGTCTCAATTTTTTTATAGGATCAGTGTATGGTATACTACAACTAGGTGGTTTATCATTCTCCGAAAACCCAGATTCATATTAGTTGCATGTTTACTTTCTTGGCTCTGATATGTAGATCAGTAGGCACAGCTGTTTCTGCACACGTCTCTTATATAAGCTCATCCTCTTAGCCTTTTCCCTATTTTTTTCCAGATTGCACAAGCTTGCAAGCCTGTTGTAGTAAAAGCTGGGTTCTGGGGATCAGTTCGGACACTTGCTCGAGGATATGAAATTGTGATGGGTTTGCTCCTTTTCACCCCAGTTGCATTTCTGGCGTGGTTCCCGTTTGTCTCCGAATTCCAGACTCGCATGTTATTCAACCAAGCATTCAGCAGAGGTCTTCAAATTTCTCGTATTCTTGGTGGGCACAGGAAGGACCGTTCTTCTCGGAACAAGGAGTAATTTGAATGACAAAAACACCATTTTAATGTTGATATTCCTCATTTACCCAAAAGAGTCCAACAAAGAATCCTTCATGGAAATCTTGCTGATTCCTGTTGTAAAGCTACTTGAAGCACAACATTTTTTGGTAGGTAGTGACAATCTTGTATGGCTGTATGATGCTATTATAATTTATAGAAGAATGAAAATTTCGAAATGTGAATGCCTCAGTCAACACGAGTTGTCTTAACTACTACTGCTTACGAAAATTGCATTAGGCATACAAAGAATTGGTATGAAAATGGGGGAATATTTATCAGTTTAAGAAAAATTGGTTTTGGATAATGGGTTTTAGCTAGATGCATTAAAATGAGAACAAGTTACAAAAGTCAAATTTCTTCTTGCATGTTCATTGTTAAGCTATGAAAGTTTACTTGTTACAGATTGGTTGTTGAGCTGTTATTTATTATTGGACCTCCAAGAGAGAGAGAATAGGAGAAATTTTTAGAAAAAGAAATTTTTTGGTGAGACATTTTATAAATATTGCAAAGTACAAATTGAATGGGGCTGAAATGAATTGATAATCAAACACTCCTTCCGATTCAGAAAAAAAAAAAAAAAAAAAAAAAAAAAAAAAAAAAAAAAATTGTCATGTTTATTTATTTATTTTATTTTATGGTCTATGTCCAAATAATTGTCTACTTCTCTTTTTCAAATAATATATTATACGTATTTTCGTATATGTTCTTGGAGTTTAAAATTTAAAATTCAAATATTCAAATTTAAAAAATGCAAGTTAGTTATTTTTCAGGGAGACAACGTGTCTCCTACATGTTTCCTTAAAATGTACTATTCCTCAAAAGTGACACTTAAATTGGGATGGAAGGAGTATAAAATATTTGGCACTCATGCGATTGATCAAAAAAAAGAAAAAAATGTGATAGTTCTTTGACAAATCACGAGTGTTGTAAAATAAGTATTAGTTACTCCCGCACAATAACAAATTCTCAATTATTATTAGGGTTGTGAACGAAAAACACCCATATGATATGCATATAGTGTATAACCCCTTATATGTTCTAAAAAGTCTCTAATATTCAATTTTGGAGTAAATAAGGACCTGAATGCTGAAAAGACTAAAGTGTCTCTTTATAACTCAATAAAAAAATAAGTAAAAAACTAATTAAATGTTAAATAAATAAACTGCCCTTATTTTTTAAAAATATAATATAGGGTTATGGCCAAAAAAACAACCTTATGGTATGTATATAGATTATATAACCCCTATATATTCTAAAAACTCCTTAACATTTAATTTTGGTACAAACAAGTAGGGCTGCAAGTTGGGCTGGCCCAACCCAGCTCAGTCCCAACCTAACCCGAATCGGGTTTGGTTGGGTTAACCCGAATTGTACCCAATATGGGTTATGGTTATAACTCAACCCGAATATTTTCGGACGAGTTGAGTCGGGTTGGCGGGTTGAGTTTTTTTAAAAAGAATTTCGGAAACTTATATATATATATATATATATATATATTATATTTGATTATATTATTATTAAAAAATAAATTATATATATTATATTTTATTCAGGGCAAATCATTTTAGCCTCCCCAATCGCCTCCATTTCTATTCTCTCTGAACTTCCCCCCCCTCTCTTTCTCTCCAATTGCAGACTACAAAATTTACAAGAATCAGAACTTCAAAACCCATATATTTTAGTTTTATCTATCTGTCTGCAATAATCAAAAGTTCAAAACCCATATCGCCCGCTGCAAGAATCAAAACCCATATCGCCCGCTGCAAGAATCAAAACCCATATCTACAAGAATCAAAAATCAAAACCCAGATCTACAAGAATCAAAAATCAAAACTCAGATCTTTCAGTTTCCATCGCCTGTTGTTCCAGTTCGGGTTCGTCGTTCGCAAGCTTCAGTCGCTGTCTCTTAATTCTCAAGCTTGCCCCCCCCCCCCCCCCCCCTCTCTCTCTCTCTACAACTGCTAACTTGAATGCATGGGGACGGCGATAGAGAGAGAGAAACAAAAGAGGAGAGAGAGAGGAGGAAAAAAAATGAAAAAAATAATAATAAAAATAATTTGGGTTTTTGGTTAGGTTCGGGTTGAGCTCGAACCCAACTTGAATATGTTTAGGTTTTGACAAAACTCAACCCGAACATGAACCCGATTTGTAAATTTAAAGTCCAAATTTCAAAATTTCAAGTTGGGCTGGGTTAGCTCGCCCAAATTGCAGCCCTGTAAACAAGGACCTAAATGTTGGAAAGACTAAAGTATCCCTCAGTAATTGAATAAAAAGTAGGTGAATAAACAAATTAAATGTGACAAGTGTATATATGTATCTATATATATATATATATATAAGGGCATTATAGGAAGAGACAAGGGTATTACTGGTTATAAAGGTTCCCGTTCCAGAACCCCGGCCACTACCACGCCTAACGACTAGTTGGGTTGAAGCGGCTGACCTATGTAGTTCTGTTTTTACCTAGGGCCGAAGGCCAGGTTGAAATTTTATATCTTTAAAATGTCGTATGCATTGCACATGACTAAATTTTTAACGAAACAATGACCTCAAGCTCTTCTTTGCCACATTTTTTCTAACTTAACGAACTTATATACTCAAAGGATAAGGGTGTTATTTGCAAAATGCAAACATTAGGGGTGTTTTTCTCACTTTGCCCTTATAAGGGTGTTATTTGCAAAATGCAAACATTAGGGGTGTTTTTCTCACTTTGCCCTTATAAGGGTATTATCGAAAGACATAAGGGTGCTTTTGAAATTTTATATCTTAACAGTGACTTGAAACCATTCTTTACTAATTTTTCAAACTTTTAACGGATTTGTATACATGACTGAAGCCTTTCTTTGCTTAATTTTTCAAACTTAATGGAATTGTATACATAATATATATAAATATACATAATATATATAAAGTATAAGTGTGTTATTTGTCTACAATGTAAACATTAAATGGTGTTTAATTTCACTTTTCCTTTATTATTATTAAGAGAAATTAAGAGATATCGTTAGGTGGGATACTACGTGATTGGACTAACAAGCCTTTTGCATCATACTTGCTGGTCGGTCTTGTAAATGACTATTGTTAGCCTATTTTTATTGACCATGACAAGATAAAGGCATGAGGAGGTATGCTGTAGCGGGTGAGTGCTTGCCCATTTGTCTAAAAGCTTAAGCTATTGGGTAGTGCTGCATACCCATCCATTTATACCCATTTCACTTTCCATCCAGATCCGATGTGGGACATGTCTCCCCTACCCGAAGTCGTAATGCTCTCATTGCTGTCGGGTCAACCTGCTTACCCGAGTGGCACACCTAAATGCCTTTTGGATTGGGCGTTTGGCGTGACACCGGATCAAGGACTGGGTCTGATTCTGATACCAACTGTAACGGGTGGACTCTTGTCCATTTGCTCAAAAGCTTAAGGCTCCATTTGGATACAAAGGAAAGAAAAGAAAGAAGATGATATTATTAGTTATAAGAGAAATAAAATGATAACAATAATTTCTATTCATATTTGAATAGATAGGAGAAAAAATAAAAGAAAAGATAGTATTCTTGTTTGGATATGATGAACAACCAAATTATTATCATGCCTTTTTAAATATATGGAATATGAGTGGAATAATAATCTCCTCTCTTTAATTGTTGAGTGCAATTTCAAAATTATAAAAATAACATTTAACCACTATTATTTCTCTCCTTATGCTTTTTTTATTTCTTATTTTAAACAACTCAAACACAATCTACATTATCCTTTATTTTATTTTCTCATACTATCTATCCAAATCTCTCAATCCAAACGCACCATAAGCTATTGGGTAGTGTTGCATACCCATCCATTGATACCCATTTCACTTCTCATCCGAATCCGATGTAGGACAAGTCTACTCTTGTAACAACTGACTACATAGGCCTAATCAGAAAACAACTACCAATTAAAGAAAAAAAAAAAGAAAAAAAAAGGATTAAAATCACAAAACTCTCCTCTACTTTCAAAATCATGCATAAATCTCTTAGTAATTAAAAAATAAATAAAAAAAACCCCAGAACTAACAAAACTTATCAAGTTACCCCCAAATCTGTGACCCATCCTATTAAATGGGTTGTGAAATTTGACCTTGGTATTTAATATTAAATGAAAAAGCTATAATTAATATTTTAAAGGGTAAAGTACAAAGAGACCCCCTGAGGTTTGAGGAAAGGATAGACAGATGAAAATTGGCTTATTTTTGGACAAACACACCCCCTTGTGAAATTTGCCCTCCAAACAGAGCCTTAAATCAAGTGAAAAGTCCATTTTACCCTTCACTATTTTATTAATTTTAATTATAAAATATTTAAAATTAAATGGCCAAAATACCCTTTTCATATATACTTACACACACACACACACACACACACACACACCAACAACCAGTCACCACCGCCCCCAATCTCTACCAACCCCCAACCTCCATAATCACCACCCACTAAAGAAGACGCCAAAAAGGAGCTCTGCCACTGCCACCTCCTCGACCTATAAAGATTGTATGCATTCATCAAACAAGCCTCACCGATTCGTATAAAGCATATAGAAGAAAATGCAAAAATCATCTAATCTATACATATATAAACACACAAATCTGTACATACCAGAACTTGGACCTAGACCCAAACTCACAAAATCATCTAAGGTAAGGTACGCTAACCCCACAGCTAACAAAGTCGCAATTCTGGCTGCCCTTCAAAAACCTTCAAAAGCCCTGAAATTCAACAGTCCAACCATGTGGGTTTAGAAGACACAGCGAAAAACACGCAGTTGTTAACTTCAGAAATCACAGTTCAAATCTTTCAACTGTAGAAATCGCCAATTTTGAAAGTAGGAGAGTGTTGAAAATTTCAGAATCAAACAAAATTTAAAAACTAAACAAAAACCCTAGAAGGAAAGACAATTTCAACACCTGACAATACACACATATATATATATATATATATATATATATATATATATATATATATAAACATATACAGATTGTTGGTTTATTCATAAAAGGGACTTTGAAACTGACCTCGGGTTGCCGGAAGTGAAAAAGGGGGCACCGTTAATGTGGTTAACCCATCCATTTGAGCCTCCCCAGTCTTAGAGTTATCAGACTAATAGAACAGCCAAACACGCATGCAAAACCTTAGCATCTGAGGGGGCTATTGCATGTATTCCATATGGAGAAATTGGACTCAAAACGAATGGCAGAAGCGATGGCCACTTCAGCCTCCTCGGCCTTGCAGGTGACGGTTGCCGGACTGTGCTTATCTGAACCTTGTCGTCATCGGAGCTTGGTCCTAGCCGGATTGTTTTTGCTCGTCGATCTCTTGTTGCTCGGTTTCTAAACTTCGCCACACTATTCAGTCCGTGGCCGCATCGTCATCGGAGCTTGGTCCTCGCCAGCAATTTCAGGGTTTCGCCGATGCTTCTGGGTTTCGCCGCCACTGTCACAGTCATCGCCGCCACCCCCATTGTTGCAGTCATTGCCGATGCTTCTTCCTCTTTCTCCTCTTCACCTCGTCTCTTCAACTATGGCCGCCCCTCTCTTCCCCCTCTCTCTACACCCACCACCGCGGCCACAACCACCATCCATCTGATCTCCCTTCTCTCTCCACTGTATAATATACGCAGGCGGGTTCGGGTTCGGGTTCGGTTTCGGGTTTGGGTTTAATCAAAGGGTATTTAAGTCAATTAAAATGTTAATTTTATTTGAAAGGGTAATAAGGTCAATTCACCATCTTCAGGGTCTCTTTGTCCATTTTTCAAACTTGAAGGGGTGTCATTGTCCAAAAACATGCTAACTTTCCTCTGCTTGTCCTTTCCCCAAACCTCAGGGGGTGTCAATGTACTTTACCCTATTTTAAAATATCAAAAATGCCCCAAAATGCTTACAAAAATAATAATTTAAAGCAATTAAATCAAATTTGACTTTCAAACTGATTAGGAAGAAGACATTGATATTTTTATAATTTTAAAATAATAATAATAGTCTTTAATTTAATATCATAGTAAGGTCAAATTTGACATTTCATAACTTATTTAACGGGTAGGTCGCAAGTTTAGGATACCTTGATAAGTTTAGTTAATTAAGGAGTTTTTTAATTCTATTAGGAGTTTTATGCGTAATTTTGAAAGTAAGGGAAGATTTTATGATTTTAACGCTAAAGAAAGAAAAAGTTATTACACATATATCTTATACTATAATATGAGTGCAATATGAAAATTTTGAAAAATGAAATGAACTTGGGAGAAATTAGGGTTTGATTCACGAGGACCATGACCATAATAGATATATATAGAGAGACACACCCATCCCCGATTCTTGTTTATATTTATACGAAATTCGATCAGGATTTGTTGCAGTCAATTATTCAATCAAATATTTTTAATTGATTATTCATGCATAAAGAAATAAATGAAACACCCACACCTTTATTTGCTGCATAAATCTACCAATTAAAAAAAAGCAGACGTGACAATTCAGTGCAACAATATCATTTTCCCTCATAAAACTGCGGCTCTCACGGGCTGTGGGACTAGAATTCTCGAGAATCTTCACCCTCTTTTTCTTGGAACTCAATCAGACCTCCATTGTTCATTTATTTGGATTTTGAGACTCAAATTATCTTCTGGGTGTTTCTGTTCTTAATTTCTCTCGTCTTTGCTGAGTTTCTAGTGTTTTTTCTGGTTGATTCAAGGTGCAATTTTGCTGCTGATTTTGCTTGTTTGAAGGCACTGTGGATGATCAGGTTCACTGTTTCTTATATTGGGACAAATCCTTTTTATTATTAAACATTTATATTATTAGATTCAATGCTTTGATTCTTTGGGATCGTATATATTTTTATATATATACATATACATATAATGTGTGTATTTTAGTAGTTATTAGTTACCTATTTGATTGGTTCTTCTATGAGTTGTTTTATATTTAAGATATTCACATTTAGGAGGACTCTTTCATTTTATTTTATTTTATTTTTATCATAGCAAGAAACTATACACAACGTGACCCTACTTGAGACTCTTTTATTGGTTCTATACTTTCCTACTTAAAATATAAATAGTCACACCAAATCTTTGAATTTACAAAGGAGAAGCTCTCCAGTGTGTTCTTTGGCATATTAAGGTACACACTATATTGTTTAAGTGATTTTTTTTTTTTTTGTTTTTTTGTTTTTTTGTTTTTTCCCTTCTTTGTTTTCTTTTAGTGAATCTAACTAGATTGGCTAATTTAATTCATAATATAATTAATGATTTTCATTACCTACTGTTTTGGACTAACCACTATGAAGAAGAAGAAATCATGTTATGAAGGGGATTCTTATTTGTAGAAACGGTACTTTGAAACTTGGAACGAGCATGAAGAAATTAACCATAATTCTTTATCATACTCGAATAAAGTGCAGAATTAAGATAGAATTAAGATGGATACTGATCAAACTAAAGATATTAAACATAACAGACATTTTGTTCTCGGAGAAAATTGCATTTTGATTGAATTATTGATATAAAGAAAAATAAAATTATGTTAGGGATTTATTTGAGTTAGTCGGCATGAGCTGATGGTGTATGAGATATATGTGAGACTTCAGTTTTTGCTAGTAATACCGACTTTGACTGTTTATTCTTCAACTTCCATTCATAAATTGGTACTAAAAGCTTCTGATGATATTGTTCAAAAGTTGATTAGGCACTTCTATAATAGCTAATTATAATCAAGAGAAGAATTTTACCTTTCAGTTTTATTTAGAAAACATTTCCTGGACCATAGGTAAAAGCGACGTAGAGCTCACAACTACTAGGTATAGTTTGCATAATCATTTCAACATCATCAATCCAATAGCCAAAACTAATGGTTATTGATCTTACCTCATTATAATCTTAAGTACATGAACCAATGATTTTTTTTTTTTTTTTTTTTGAATTTTTTATCTATTCTACCATACATAGAAACATTCTAGTATCATGAATGTCAAATAAGCAACTTGATCTTGCTGTCATAGATTTCTTAAAAAAATTGGCGCCAGTTGAACCATGTTGTTGAGATTGCAGTACCACCAATTTATCTGGTCAAGCACTGATGTCATAGTCATTGTAACTAAATTTTGCAATTATATAAAATGATACAATAACCAAAAGAATAGAGAACCCATAGAATTTATGCCAATTTAATTTCAAATGTCATACAACTTCTTGCAAAGGAAGACCAAAGTTGACGTGGGTAGAGTTAGTAAGGAAGAATATGATAGCACGTGGTTTGACTGAGGGTATGGTCTTAGACAAAGCTGAATGGAAATATAGGATTCATATAGCCGACCCCAAGTAGTTGGGAAAAAGGCTTGTTTTTTTTGTTGTTGTTGTTGATATGACTTCCTACAAGAATGAACTTCTGCTGCTTTTGAAAATGGAAGTTGGTAATGTTCGACAGGTTAAAGCCATCTGAGTTATGAGGAAGTGAAACGGTGGTGAGAATATTACAGTGTTGATTCAGAGCTTAGCAGTATTGGCTTTCGGAATAAGATATGACTACTGAACGCAGCTTCGACCAGCACATTATTGAGCCTTGCACTGCAACTGCTGATTATGGTAAAGAACATTCAGATGCAGAAATCAGAAGCTCAACTGACACGAATTCTACGACTGTTGGTGGAAAATATGGAATGATGGCAAACACTGTCCTACACAACCTACTTGAGTGCCCAGTTTGCATGAATTTAATGTATCCTCCCATTTATCAGGTACGTTCTCATATATTAACACTGCTCACCAATGGTCTAGATTCTCTTGTTAAAAATAAGAAGAAAAATTTAAAAGAAAAACTCATGTATTTTTTTTTTTGTTTTAACCCTATGAATTAAATATAGCCCTGCAAATCGACTGAATGGAATTCAAAAACATACACAATTGAGTTTAATGTCCCAACTCCGGAAAAATAATAATGTTTTCAAAATATAGACCTCACCTTTGTCATCCTGGAGTTGTTAGCATCGCAGCGAAGCAATGTAGATAATATTTGTAAATCCCATTCATTTATTTTTATACAAATTGTGTAATAAACATACCTTTCATGTATAAAATGATTATTGAATCCTAGAAAGAAATAATGTAACGTCATAGATGCATATGCTGTTAAATATGATAATTACTTGGTTAAGAACTATGAAGTGAACCTATAGATACTGTAATGACAAAATATCTTAAAATATATGTATTACTTAGCTGGAAACTTGTTAATTCAGTTTCAACCATGAATGCTGGTGGGTATTTAGGTTCTCCTAATTTTGGCTAAACTTGTTAACCTACGATTAATGTCTTCAATGTGCTTAAACCTCCTTCGCTGCTTTCTCAGATAGGCAGAATATCTTTCATTTCCTTGATTATTATAAAGGTTGCACTGGCATTGGGGTCAGTCAAACTGGGGCATAGTTGTAGAATATCTATTGATCCCACAAATTAAATATTTTATTGAAAAAGATTTTATGAGAGAACATATCAAACAAAACTTGCTCTTTTATGTTTCTTCTTTGCAGAAATATTAGATGTATTTACGAAGTTTGTTCATCTCATATCATGTATGTAACCAGCCCTCATAGATTTGTAGTTTCACATAGGTGGAAAGGGGATGGGGAAGTGTTAAGTATTGTTAACCACTGTCTACTCTAAAAACGTAAGCCGTGAGAGATGGTGTAACTTTAATATTTTGTCCAACACGTGTTTCAATCTTAAATATCAAGGTGAAAGTGATGTTTGAACTCAGAATCTTGCATACTCTGATACTGTGATCAACGAAGGTGTAACTAAAATTTTTTACTAACAAATATGAATAACGTCCTTATAGGAAGCACTAAACTTAATATAGGGACGTGTTATCACTACCATTAAATCTATACACATCATCAATATTATTTTGTTGTTTCCAATTTTATATTCCTAAAAGAACAGAAAAAACAAATTGAGCTACAATATTTTGTTTCACTTGAGGAAACTGCCCCACTCTTGCAGTTCACTATGAGCACATATGTTCTGATAGGAGAAGTTGATAACCTTAATATAAAATGTTTTTTAATCATTTCCTGTCTGTGCAGTGTCAAAATGGCCACGCTTTATGTTCAAACTGCAAGGCCAACATACACAAGATTTGCCCGGTTTGCCGCCAAGTTTTTGGAAGCATTAGGTGCTTGGCTTTGGAGAAAGTTGCGGAAACATTAGGACTGCCGTGCATGTGGTGGAATTTGGGTTGTCAAGATATTTTCCCCGTCCACAGCAAGCTCGGGCATGAGCAGAATTGCAGGTTTCGTCCATATCGTTGTCCATATAATGATGGTAAATGCTCTGCCACTGGTGATATCCAATTCCTTCTTGCACATCTCAAGGATGATCACAATGTTAATGTTGATGATGTTGATGATGGGTATACTTTCAACCTCGAATACACAAAACTCAATCCCGAAAAAGTTGAAAAGACTAGGTGGAAGCTGGCAGTAAGCTCTCTCTCTTGCAGTGTTACAATGCTTTATGGATGCTTGAGTTTAGTTAGTGTGCACGACAGGGTTGTATTACTCACATACAATATAATTTTTTTTTGAAAAATTCACTGATATACTGTTTTGGCTTTTCCCCTCGCTATAAACTAATTGAACCTTTGATGAAGCCTGTATTCAACCTAGGCCTTTGATAATTCCATCGAAATATTTTTACTTTTTTATCTTTTTCTTCTTTCCGAAAGTTCAACCACCATCATATATACACCCACAATATTGTCCCTAGTAGGGCTCAAAATCTCAATTTCCCCTTTGGGAAGTAGAGATCATATCTTTGAGCTATTTGTAGTTGGCAGAGAAGATTGAGAAGAAAAAAAACAGAAATTGGTTTACTTTGTTTGCAAACACTTAGTTCAATTTCTATGTTACTCGATCATCTTCTCTTTTCTGAAAAGTTTTTTACTCAAAAAAAAAAAAAAAAACAAACTGTGCTATTCTATCAAAATATTGAAAAAAAAAAAAATCAGTAACATGTTTGATCATCTTATTTGGTGCAGGTTTTCAACTGTTTCAGCCACCATTTTTGCTTGCACTTTGAGGCTTTCCGTCTAGAAAAGGCATTTGTTTACTTGGCCTTCCTGCGTTTTATGGGCGACGATGATGAGGCGAAGAAATTCAGTTATAGTTTGGAAGTTGGCAGAAATGGCAGGAAGTTAACATGGCAAGGATTTCCAAGGAGTATTCGTGATAGTTGCAAGACAGTTCGTGAGAGTCTAGACGGACTGGTTATTCAGAAAAACATGTCATTCTTCTTTTTTGACGGTGATAGCCAGAAGCTGAGAGTAAAGTTGGCTGGTCGCATATGGAAAGAACAGTTGAAATGCAATAGAGATGTTCTGTAAAAATTTATGGGAAAAAAATATTTATTTTTATTTTTGAACACAGGTGAAAAATTATTATTATTATTATTATTTGGGTTTCTGTTAGTGGGTCTGTTGTTACAAGTGCAGCTAGCTTTATTATAATCCATGTCCATATGCAGGGACGGAGCCAGAAAGTTTGTTCAGGAGGGGCACATTGTAATATTGTACACTATAATATATATAGACTATAATATCCATACATATAAGTTAATGTTTATGAGTGTGTGTGTATATATAGAGAGAGAGAGAGAGAGAGAGTAATATTTTTGGGATTAAACTAATTATAGATACATAATATAGGGATTAAGGAAAGATTTAAGAGGAAAAAAAAAACATATATAGAATATTATAAGGGGAAGAGAAAATTCAGGAGCGCACTTTCTATATTTTTTTGAAAAATATATATATTATAATAAATATATATATAAAATATAAGAGGGGCAGAAAGTCCGGAGAGGCACTTGCCCTCCCTAAGCCTTAACTCCCTCCATCCTTGTCAATATGGTTTTTCAATGGGGGTAAGGTTGTCAAGGATGCTCTTGTTCTGGAGAGAGGGCTCAGCATGCTAATTTGCGATTTGGGAGTGAATTAGCACAAAATTCGTGAATGTGAATTTGTTTTCCTTATTATTTTCACATGAATTCACCTTATACACCTAAATTTAAATTTGTTAGTGTCTCAATCAGGGACGGACACAGGGGTATGCAAAGGTGGGCTGTAGCCCACCAAAAAAAAAAAGAAATTAGCCCAGCCCAAAAAATAAAAAAAATTAATAATATTAGCCCACTCCAAAAACTCAATAAAGCTCAAGTAAACTCAGTTACCATACTAAAATAAAGGCCCAAACTAATTCTTTAATATTCATGTTTAATGTTAGTCCACCCCACCTAAAAATCCTGAATCCCGCCCTTGGTCTCAATTATATGGAACATCTGTATTATTATATTTGCATTTATTACCTACTTACGCTATTACTTAATATATACATTAATTACTTAAATTCCATTTATACCCCAACTTTATGGCATTGCTATATTATCACACATATATGTATATATGTTAATTATACATATTTGAAAATATATCATTAAATTTTTTTTCAATCGGAGGATATTACAAATAAATCACGCATATATAAAATATATATGTATATAATTTTATTTAAGCCATATAGCTCTTGCTTTAAAATTTTTTAGACTTTGATACTTTTGCAGTCCTACTCCGACTTAGGATCCACCTATAATAGTCCACTCTCATTGTACAAAAGTATGTCAAATGGTCCACCGATTACGTGGTAAATATTATACCATTCAAAATTTGAAAATGGTACCTTTGACTTCGATCTGGGTATATATACCCCGACTTTTTTATATAATCAAGCTGAGATAAGTGTATTTTTGTTGAACGAGTAATACCAATAACTTGGTATGTTCTCAAACTTGTAAACACAGCATAATTCAGAATTTGCATGTCCGTTCACCTTTCTAAAACTTCTACATAGAAAAAGGCAACACTAAAAAAAAAAAAAAAAAGTAATAAAAATTTTTATGGGCAATATAAAATTACTTAAGTGCCTTCATAAAAAAAAAAAAACCATGAAAATTCATCAAACTCTCGTGTCAATGGTGGACTGCGGTTGGAGTGGTGTGTGGAGAGAGAGAGAGAGAGAGAGAGAGAGAGAGAGAGAGAAGGGTTGGGAGATGTGGTTGCAGACAGAAAAATGCATCAGTATGTGTAATGTTTTTTTTTTTTTTTTTCCTTTTCCAATTTTTTGGAATTTTCTATTTTGCGAGGGCATTTTCATCTTTTCTCGTTTTGCGTGTCGGACACCGTGGGGTGTGCTAGGTGTGTCCAAGAGCCGGTTGAGGTATTTCATTGAGTTCAGGGCTCTTTGAAATGTAGGGATTGCCATTTCGGCATTTTTTTTTTTTTTTTTTCGTTTTTCGAACCGGACGGTCCCGAGTGGGACCCGCTACCGGAATCGTTGTGTAAGGAAATTTTATTTTGGATCCATTGCATACCATACATGATTATTTTGTTTATATTTAAAATGGTTGTATGTTATTCTATATGGTTTGTGTGCATGTATGTGTAATGGTGGTAAAATAATTAAAGAAAAAGAAAAGGTGGAATTTTAGTAGTGGGACCCACCACTAATGTATTTGGTGTGGCCAGGAGGCCATTTTGGCCTCTCATTTTTCTCTCTCCCTATAATATATCTCTTTCCCTCATTTTTTTCTTCTTTTTCTTTTCTTTTTACATCAAAACTTCAAGCTTTGATTCCTTTTCACTACTTGGAATTTTTGGATGCCGTTTGCGGTAAATTGAAGAGCCCGACGAGATTTACTCATTTGAGGGTTTTTCTACAAATTTGAGGTAGGGGTTCCTAATTCTTGTGGTCTTGCACCTTTGTGAATTAATTCCTATAATTTGTTGCCCAGCATGCCACTTGTGTTGATTCTTCCTCTAAGTGTTTAAATTGTTGTAAATAAAATGTGTGATTATGTGTTTTATTTGATACCACTTGAAATAGCTTGCTTATATGAGTTAAATTTCAAGCTAGATATGCTTGCCAAGCCAAATTACCATTGAATGAAATCATGTTGTATTTTGGGAAATTTCTTGTAAAGTATGTAAAGTATTTTAAGCTTGAATTGTTATATAATGATAAATGTTGGCATAATACATTCACGCATGACAATATGAAGCATGAAGCATCCATTCACTTAATTGGGAAAAAAATGAGAATATGGTTTTGAAATGGAAAGAAAAAAGGGATTTTGGGTTAAGTTTTGATAAGGAGTTTTTGTGAAAACCCGGACGTCGAGGAGGTACTGAGGGTCCGTGGCATTAATGTAACCTAGAGAGAATTAGGGAAATCACCCTAGCGTGGTTGAGCTATCTGGGCCCCAAATGACGTTGTGGGGTTACTAAGGGTCAGTGACAGTAGTCAATCCTTCTCTCGTGTCGCCGAGGAGTCACTGAAGGACGGGTTAGGTTAATGGTTTAAAAAATGAAGAATGGAAGTGATTTTGAAAACGGGGAACGACATAGCATGTCATAGCATTCCATAACATCACATTATTCATTTTGGACTTGAAATTGATATTGTATTTTCCTGGCATAGCTTGATTCCGTTCCCTATATTTCTATTTATTATTTGGATTCACGGGGTCACAAGAGGTGTGTCTTAGGCACCACCTACTGAACAATTTGTTCATCCCTTATATTTAACATTTTCAGGTCACGGAAAAGAAGTGGCGGATGACGTTCCACCACAGGCCTAGTATGGATTAGAAAATCATTTTGTTGTTTTTGTATCTAAGTCTCACTATTTTTGTAAAACTTGGCATATTGTATTTTGTACTGAGACTTATGGACTCTTGTTATTGTAATTATATTCATGGGTTGTAACTTTAATATAATTTGTCTAAACATTATAAGACATGGACTTTTGATCTTAGCCATATTTTAGGGACTGTAATTGTGATATTTGGATTAAATGGTATGTAGTTGTTCCACCATGAGATGAACTATATTGAGGCATGATGAATTGATGAAATGAATGTTAAAATGTATTATTTGCATTGTGTTGTGGGACAAGTTAGATAAATATATTATTTGCATTGTGTTGTGGGACAAGTTAGATAAGTTTTGAAGGTCCAAGGGTCATTACACTATGTATATTGAAGGAAGGTGATTTGGTCATTTTAGGTAATATTCCAGGAAATATTAGACATTTCCTGTTATATAAGACTGTTTGAATGTCATTTATGAAAATGCCTCTTTTCGGCAATCTTGGGGATTTTTGAAAAAAAAAAAAAAAAAAGTAACCACAGTGGGACCATGTTGCAAATTTTTTTGACTACACATATAAAAAGTGTGGGTATTATTGTAATTTCAAAATGAAATGAAATCCCATCTTTTCCTCTTTCGGACAGTTTCTCTCTCTCTCTCTCTCACGTATCTCGCGACTGCCGCGAACCTCGCGCAGCACCGTCGCGTTAACCATAAACCTCGACGACGACGCTGTGAACCACACCTTCATCGTCGTTCGCCAAGCCTAAACCTTACGCCGCCGTCGTCATGCTGAGACCGACCACTCCGCCATCGCGGCGTGGTTGTTTCGCCGAAATACAGTGGTGGTGGTTATGACTTCTGAGGTGTGAAATGTGAATGGTGGTGGTGGACCTTCTGGTAGTTGTGGGGGGTGAGGCTAGAATTTCGGCAACCACCATGACTGTGGGTTCATTCACCGGAGTACACAGCGGTGGTGGTGGCTTTGTGGATGGTGGTAGTGAAGTCATCAATTGTGGTGGTGTCGGTGGTGGTTCGTTCGCCGGAATACACATAATATTGGTGGTGGTTGATGGGAGTGGGGGCTCAAATTCTCTACCCTCGTCTTGTTCTTGTCATCAAATTTTCTTCTGGGTGTTTCTGTTAGTGCAATTTTGCTAGTTTGAAGGCAATGTGGATTATCAGGTTCACTCTTTCTTATATTGGAATTATGCAAAATTCTTTTCATTATTAAATATTTATATTATTAAATTAGATACAATGCTTTGTGATTTTTTTGGAATTGAACATCATCTATTTGTTTGGTTTTTGGCATTAGAAAAGTAAATAAACAAACTTCCCTATTTTTGGATTGGTTACAGATGTGTGTGGATAAATATACGCACATATATATATGTGTATATATATATACACGGGAGTATATATTTATATTAATACAGTTTCCTATTCTGAATTTTTTTTTTGGTTTTGCCTTTCCTTATAATTTAGGAAGTCTTTTGTCTTATACTACTTTCGGAAGTCCATATTTTAGAAGGACTACATTTGGATAAATAGTGAAACCATATCTGCGTATTACAAAGAAAGATGAAACTCTCAAGTGTGTTACCGTCATTGATAAGGTAATTGTTTTTGCTTTTTCTCTTTGTTTTTTTATATTATTTTTTAAAAATATTTTCTCAGAT